TTTTGGATTAACTGGAGGCTTTAATTTAGTGAGGTATTTTATTGATAATCTAAGTAAAAATCTAGTTTGGAACTTTGTTTTGAAGGGCTTTTTTTCAATAAAAATTGGCTGCTGAGTCCTTGATAACTATTTTTGTTGTTTGTTCTTTATTCTGTTTGACTGAATTTACAAAATATCTGCTTCAGTTCAATTGAACTCTTGGAGTACAGTCAGCTTCTTCGGTCAGTGTGCATTACTATTATGGGTTGCGTCCTTCTCTCATATACTCTTCCAGTAGTGTTTTGTCTCCAGCTTTGGTGGGGCTGTTCTCATTCCCCTGACAATGGTAGTATACCTCAGATGGTTCTGTGGAGCACAGCTGGTTTCTCCTGCCTCCTAGCTCCCTGGTGTACGTCTTCAAGCAGATGGCCAAGGCTATGAGTCTTTTTTGGCAGTTTCCAGGGCCTCAGGTATGGGCAGCTTGCTGTACTTCGTAGCTTACTATCAGAGCTGCACAAAGGTGCCTAACTTCCCTCTGCACTACCTTGATCTTGGCCTCTAGTCTCCTTCTCCATGAAGGGTACTGGTCATTGTGGCTGTTCATCTTGTAGCCAAGCATCTCACTAATAACTGCTGCTGTGGTGTAGATGAGCTGTTTGGTTTCAGTGATAGTCACAGTAGGGGTTGGTTGGTGGGACCTCACGGTGGGCCTCCTGGACCAACAGTGCCACCACACCACCACAGTGGGAAATGGCTTTAGGTTTTATGGTGCATGAACCAATTCTGTAGGTTATTTTCAGATTAAAGAAAGTGAAGAGAAGTGCCCACTTTGCTGATAAGCAAGGGTTTTTATGATCTGTCCAAACTACCAGTGGATGATCTTTACCCTCCAGCCAATCTCTTGTTAATTTTTAGTGTCAGCTTTATGCATGCAGCTCCCTCCAACTTTGTAATTTCTCTCTGCAGGGGAAAAACAATCAGCTACAAAGAAGAGAGGCCCCAAAGCTGAAGATTTGTCTCCCATTCCGTTTTTAATTATCCTAGGAACAACAAGTAAGCCATCAGTCTGAAAGTGAGGTATCTATTGGGGTGATATAGTACTATGAGGTCTTTAAGATAAGAATTGATAAGAACTTAGCAATTCCAATTACACTATCACTATCGCTTATTGATTTAATTCCTTATCAGTTCTCTTATCCATTCTCATTGGCACCACTTTGAGAGTCATTACCATCTCTGAGTAGCAGATATTACAATGGACATTACATTTTGTGCAAATTAATTGCATGCTGTGTGATCAAATATTTGTGCATGTTGGAGTTGTTTCCCATCTTTGTTGTGACAAGTTTTGCAGTCATTCCAAAAATAAAAAATAAAAATAAAAATCATGTATTATGCATATTACACAGAACATTTTTTCTTACATTATTTAATGACTCACAGGTTTGGATGGAGTTTGAATGGCAAATTCTGATTGCATTCTTATTATAACCAGGACAGATGAGAGAAGAGGAGATGAAGAGTGCAGCAGGTTGGTGAGACACCAAAAGAGCAGAAAAGGTGAAGAAGCGGTGAGCATCAAAAAGACTTGTAAGAGGGCACACAATTTAAAAGGAGCCATTATGGAACAATAAAAGCAGAAACTAAGAAGCCAGGGCTGGCAAAATTTGGGACTGTCTCCATACTCTCTTCTAAATAAATATGTCCTCAGGATTTCAATTTCTTTTTCTTGACGTTTTACTCATTCTGCTTAATATAAAAAACAGCAGCACACAATAACTCAAATTGCACTGATGGTTTATTTGAGTATCATTCTGTGACTTCAACCTTTTGGTATAATTTTGGACATTTTATTTATTAATGTTACTATGAAATATACTAAATAACTTTAAAAAGCTGCTGTTATCAAAAGGCCCACATTAGCAGATTTTAATATTCATGTTTCTATTGGATTAAAATGGATGCACTAGTCTTTATTCACCCCTTGCCTTGGTGAATCTGACAATGGAGTTCTGTTGATGATGGATGTCTTTCTCTAGTCACACAATAACCTCAAGGAGACCTACAACCTCAAGGAGAACTCACTGACATAACACTGATCAGCTTTCTAGACTGGCCAAACTCAGATTTAATCAACTCTGAGTTTATTTTTTAAAATTCAGAATTTGTTGAGCATGCTTCTTGGAATAGGTCCCTATTTGTATTTTGCAATGTCATCAAAGCAGGGAAGGGTGTGGCTGCAGTTACTATTGTATTTACGCCCTGACTTTAGCGTTTTAGGCACTATTTCTCTAATTTAAGTAGTTCTTCAGCATCAACAGCAGCTTCTGACTTAACCTATATCTGACGTATATCTAAGTCTGTAATCCATAAACTAGAGGTTTCTGAGCATTCTACCGAGTATATAACACTATTGCAATGCCTGTAAGACTACAGACTGGTGGAAACAACCCGCTTCCTTTTTTTGGTTGCTACCAGCTGCATCAAGTTCACTACAGTTAGTACATGTAACCACATTTACTTCCGCTTACTGTTCAAGTAAATATGTATGCTCCCTACAATTATCAGAAAAAAATCTAATGCAATAGTGGGAAATACACATTTTATCCTTGATTAATTATTATACCGCATATAATTAAAGGAGCATGTGAACAGTGCCAGTTGTTTTTATTTTAAACGCGCAGCACACACATACACAAAACATCGACCTACTAGCAGTTGTCTATATTATTGTTTTTTGTACAAAGTGGTTGTTTGCGTTACAGCGCCATTGCTTTTATTTTGAAGGATATGATCTGATGCATGTGCCACACATCCCTTCTGACTTTGACGCCCGTGGGTCTGAGAACAGTGGCGTGTCAGGTTACAGGCGTGGCGCAGTTTGTTTCTGATCGTTTCGTAATTCATCACCGCTAAGCAGGAAGTGCAGCCATGGCGCAGGGGCTCAGAGAAAGGTTTGAAAAATTTCTCCATGAAAAGAATCTGCTGACAGATGTCCTGGCAAAGGTGGAAGCAAAAACCGGAGTAAGCAGGACCTACATTGCTCTCGGTGAGTGTTGACGGGTGGAAAGAGAGGCAGAGGCTGTCCGCATCACTGAGGGACGCACAGATAAAAGAAATAAAAGCCCGATGGACAGACTCACATTTAGCTGCAGTTTCCTTTAGCCATAAGCTAACAAAAGAAATTGTGTTTATTTTACATCACCAGCTCGATACTATAAAAGTAGTCTCCATAATGTAGTTACTGGTTGTAACATAGGTATATAGGTATGATCCGGTTAATGTATTCGTGGGAAGAAAATCTTGACAAATGTGTGGTGTCATTTGTTTCAGCTGTCATCGGTGTAATCGCAGTTTACTTGGTCTTTGGATACGGAGCCTCCCTGCTATGTAACCTCATCGGGTTTCTGTATCCAGCCTACATATCGTAAGTATATGTTGTTCTCAGAACACTTGGAAATGGCCTTAATCGCCTGTTATTTGCTCCTGTTGTTGTGCTTTCAAGTCACTGAATCTATAAAAAGGCCTGTGTTCATGTCAGCGCTAAGGACAACCTCCTTTAATCGAGATGACCACACCTGTGAGATTTATTTAGGGTATTGTAGCGCTTAAGCTCCAAAAGGATATAAGTCTGTAGGCTTACTTAATATTTAAGCTTCTCTTTTGTGCAAAGTTTTTAATTTTTGAGTGCGTTTGCCCTCCAGCAGTCTTTAATGATCATTTTCCTCAAACAAACAATGCCAATAAAATACATAAGCACCTACAAAAATGTTAGTTTTAAGAAAAAGAACAATTTAAACATTAAAAAAATCACAAAGAGAGAACAATATAATATCCACAACTGCACCAAATAGTAAAACTGTGAACTGAGGTGAACTGAGGATTATTAAACTGTAAGTCCCTATTAGTAAACGAATGATTCGTTGATGGCATTTAATTTATTTATACTCAACTGGCTTATCTCAAAATGTAAAAGAACCAACCTAACCTGTTAATTACTCTCTAGATCTGGAATAGAAATTGAACATTTACCAGTATTACCAGAAAATCCAGTTTTGTCTGATCATTTCCTAATAACATTTCAATTTACAATAAGTCATTACACAGCAGTGGGGAGTGGATTTCATCACAGTAGGTGTTTCTCTAAAAGTGTTGTAATGAAGTTTAAGGATTTAAATTATCCACTGTTCTCTTTTTCAATGCCATGTGCCAGCATAGTGCAGAGCAGCTACCTGAACTCTACTCTCAAAGAGGTCGATTTTCTTGTTAATAATTTTACATCTTCACTGGGTACGACTCTAGATACTGTAGCTCCTCTAATAAAGAAATTCCACAATCACAAGTACATCTGCTGTGATGCTTAGACCTCTGATGAAGTCTCACAAGTGTCAGCTTTGTTTTTATAGCCCACATAGATATAAATAATGGATATGTTCTGATAAATGATCAGAATATAATATTTCTGACTGTCTGAGTCGAAATTAAATTGAATTGAATCAAATGGGGACCTTGTGAATCGGAACCAAATCAGTTATTGAAATCAGTGACGATACCCAGCCCTACTGCTGATTTGAGTCTTCCTTTTCAGAGTAGCTACAGTCGTTCGCAGTGAAGAGGCAATTAACTGAAGAAGCAGCAGCATTTAGGAAAACCAGTGTGGAGGGGCGTTCATTCACAGCTTGGTATTGTATTGGGGAAATTCACAATGTATGTGCTGGTTTTCCAAAGTAATTAACAGTCATAGCAGAACCTGCTGATTTTTTGGCATTACTTGATTTATCTGCTACTAATCTTAATACATCACTTTTTATGATTAATTGTCAAAAATTTGGCACTGTGAAAGGGACACAAGAGATGCAACAAAATATAAATGTGCTGCAAAAAAAGTGTCCAATCTAATACTGCAGTATAAAAATTATATAATATTATATTATTATATAGTTAGTCTTAGGTGCAAATCTCCAGGTACTGACAGGTAGGAGAGAATTAACGTGTCATTGGGAGACAACCAGTTCTTAATGAGTGACAATGCAAACACAGACTATTTTTTTAAACCAAGCAATCAACAGATTATTGACAACTAATATCTATTTTTAAAATTGTGATTATGCAGTCAAAGCAACATCACCATATGACCCCTGAGCCTAGGGCTGTGCGATATGACCAATATCGCATATCCCGATATAAGAATTCTATCGTCCTGATAATGATATAAATCACAAAAATGTAACATTTTCTGTAAATTCTGTGAATCTCGGGCAATTCGTCTTGCGGGAAGTGTTTCCAGCTGCGCGTCATGTATCTGGAGTCGAGTGTTTTAACCGATGCACGAAACTGTACATTTTTAGACATAAGTTGTAACAGCCGCCGTTTTCTTTGTGAGTATTTATTACACGGCGTGCTGTGGGGTTGTTCTAACGTTTGAGTCTAAGGTTTATGTTTTAGCACCTGGCGGCTCTTTTTTAATTCTCATCCGTAAATAATCTGCTCTTTCACGTGATTCAGTTTATTTTGAAAAGTCTCAACAGGATCTTGAGCTTTATTGTGAAAGGTTTATGTGGAACATAAACAAGCGGACACGCGATGCTGTTACCGTCGTTGTTGTTAACCACAACCATAAAAACAGGCGCTTGTCTGTCAGGAGTGTGGTTATTTTAAATATAAGATAAAGAGAGAACTTTAATAAATTAATATAGCCACTACAGTGACCATCAAAACGATGAAAAAATATTGCCGTAAACAGTTTATTTTGCTACACCATGAAACAAACGATAGCGTAAAATGATCCGATATATATCGTTATATCGAACAGCCCTACCTGAGCCTGAATGTAGGGAATAAAACACACAACTTTATGGGAAAATGCTGAAAGCCTGCACATCTCAGCACATCTTATATAGCTCTATCATCAGTGTAATTACAGTGTATTCTTTTGTCACACATAAGGTGACAGATTTCCATCCCTCAGCGAAGGCCAGCAGCTTCCAGCCCCCAAATCACTGCATGTGCCCGGCTGTGATATTGATACAGTACTTGGTTCTCTTTGGAGGAATCGTTAAAAGTATTTAGGACATTTTGAATAGATCCCCAACAACAATGGCTGAAAAGAAGCCTGGAACAATCAGTTTCCACTGTGTTTTACAGATGGCTCTCTGTTGTAACCCTTTGCTCACCTTCTCCATACAAATTCAGGACACTTGAAAGACCTAGGGAGCACTTTAAAGAAATAAGAGCATTACAGTGGAAGTCTGTTTTCTTTTCTTTTAAATGGTACCTGTTTATTCGATTAGACTGAAATATATTTATCCATGTATTTTCTGTAAATAACTACAGATGGCTAGAAATAGCTGAATGTTAAACAAGCCAATTCGCTGCCTGTAGAGAAATGTAATATTTCTATCTGTCTGCACCACCAACTTTGGCTTTGTCAACCTTTAATTTAGTGCACTCCACCAAATAGTATGAGTTATCTGGCTGCAATTTACCAAATTATAGCTACCAAAACCTTTATTTCTCTCTTTTAGGAAGTAAAACGAATACTGACCATTTTCTAATTTGTGCTGTTATTTAAGGAAATTATAAGGAGATGCTGCCATGTCATGAAGAAAAAGTTTTAAAAAAGGGTTTTGGATGGAAATGCATTGTCAACATCCCAACACTTATCCAATTTGGGGTCACAGGGAGCTGCAGTCTGTCTTAGCTGTTATGGGATAAGAGGCAGGGTACCAGTCCATCACAGGCCCAACACTGAGACAGGCCCAGTTTTGAACCAGGAACTTTCTTTAATGTGAGGTGACTTTTTATCAATTATTGCCGTAGTTAGCCCTTAATTAGCCCCTGGCTTCTAGCTTTTTGGTTTAACATCTGCTAACACAGGGGAACATAGATAGATATAGATGGTCCAAGTGTTGATCTATTTTCATTTGACCCATGGAAATAATTCATCATAACGGGGTATCAGCGATGTAAGGTTTTGCCTTTTTTTTAGCAATTCTTGCACAGAGTTACAAAAATGTTTAATGGGCTACTAATCTAAGGCAGTTGGAAAGAAAAGTGACCCGACTACTTTGAGATTCTTGAAGAAGCTTCAGCTCTCATCCAAGACTCTTCAGTTCTGAAGCTTCATCAGTTCTGGGAACTGAAAGATTACCATGATCTGGATGACTGAAAACCTACACAGATTTATCATCTATTAATTGTAAACTAAACTTCATCTATAAAGTTAGTGGATTTCCCCTGTGACTTACAAAGAAAGCATTTAAAAAAAATTGTCATCAAAAGTTTTAAAACAGTTCTTATCATTGTGATATTATCTAGTAAAATCTCAGGGCTAATAGTACATGCAGTCAGCATAGTGTCACATGTTGGCCTGCTGTCGTCACTATGAATGTTTTTCTTGTCTCAAGATTTTTGAGAAACAGCTTGATAGAAAGTGCCCAGAATTGTGACCAGAATTGAGTCTGATGTAGTATAACATTTGATACATTTTATTAATCTTAAGATATCAGTATTTTCTCAAGTCAAAATTATGGATGTTACATTATTTGGTACAAGAGAAGAAAAGAGTAATAACGTTAAACAATAAGCTCAGAGTGGAGCTAATAATCTGCATAGGTTTATTTGTACAAACATATGTTATCTTCACTGTAACTCGTCTGTTTATAACAGGTTATTTTGTCCTGACATTGTAAATCTTATTTGAAATGACTCATTATTTCGAAACTAAACTGAAATCTCTAGAGCTAGCAGCTCTTTAAAAGTTAAGCCATTACTTGCAACATGGTTGCCTGGGTATTTGCGTGATTATTTCTTAGTTGTGTAACAGTGTTTCTCTGCAATAAATTATATGGTGTTGGAAATCCTGTCTATTTACCCTTAAATAGTACTACATTTGTAAGGGAAATGCATTTGTGGGTTGAGCAGCAGAGTTAAAAAAGTTTGGTTGGTTGATTGATTAGCTAGGATTAGAATGGGAAAAGGCTGTAGTTCAGGCTGTCCACTAATGAATACTGTGAATCCCAAATTACTGCCTATGGCAGGTGACACCTTGCAAGTGGAGCATGGTAGCTGTGCTTCATTTTAATAATTTTAAATGTCAATGAAATGTCTAAATTAGACAAAATCTGTATCAACAGCATGATCAAAATGTTGTAGCTTCTGTTTCATCACTGTAAAGTTCTGGTGCTTTTCAATAATAGAATTTTAAAAAAAGAGGAACCCCTCATTTGTGTGATAAATTCTTAATGGTGTGTATAAATGTTGTTGTGATGTATAAATGTATGAATTCTGTGAACACCTCACCATGCACGTTTTCACCAAATGGCCATATAGTCTAAGTGAGTTAAAGTATTAATGACATATAATGGATGTGTTGGTACTACTGGAGGAAAATGAAAATTCATGACCCATTGATTAACAGGCCGATTTCTGTGTATTCATCCTATGGATTCACAAGGTGGTATTGTCTGTTCAATTTATTATTGATGCTTGAATACATCAATACATGTTGCATATTGAAAGCGGGATATGAGCTTGATCCATGTGCACATTCATGGTCCTTACAGAACAGTGCTTACAGGTATGTGTAAAAGAAGTACCAAACATGTCTTTGTTCTTCCCAGGATTAAGGCCATTGAAAGTGCCACCAAAGATGATGATACTAAGTGGCTGACCTACTGGGTGGTGTATGGAGTCTTCAGTGTGGCAGAGTTTTTTGCTGACATCTTCCTTTCCTGGTTCCCATTGTACTATATTGGAAAGGTAATCCAGTTGGTCTCTGTGCCTGTCCTTATTTATTTTAATTAGTGTTAAAAC